CTGTGTGTGTATACAGAAAATGCATATATATTTAGAGAAGATCAACAAATGTGTCTCCACCCACCAACCTTGCCCCTTAGGTATGTTTCAGACCACCTACCTGTTCCTCCATTTATTCATTAAAGATGTAGTATCATTTATGTGCCAGACACTGGACATGGAAAAGAACCAGGCAGACATGGTATCTGCCTTAGCAGCGGTTCTCAACCTGTGGGTCGAGACCCCTTTGGCGGTCGAACGACCCTTTCACAGGGGTCGCCTAAGACCATCCTGCATATCAGATATTTACATTACGATTCATAACAGTAGCAACATTACAGTTATGAAGTAGCAACGAAAATAATTTTATGGTTGGGTCACAACATGAGGAACTGTATTTAAAGGGCCAGAAGGTTGAGAACCACTGCTTTAGAGGATCTATATATTAAAGGTGATAGAGATGGGGTGAGTGGGAAGATCAGAACTATATACTCTTAATTCTATCAATCTTGCCTACTCAAAATAAGAGAGTTTAGGTAAAGATCTACAGAAGCAAGAAGTGTTCTGAGTAAGCTAACACTTTGAAGTAGCTCATCCAAGAGGATACTAGCTCAGAGGAGGGCCTGAGCATGTACACTTGCAGCTCCTCCCACCGCTCTTGCTCCCACAATGCAGGAACCTAGTCTGAAAGGCAAACTCAATGAGAGTGAAAGCTTGCTTCCAGTTTGGGAGGCCTAGAAATATCTCTCCCGCATTCTCCCTATTTGCTTCCAATTTCATCCTGTGGGTCTGTCTTTGGGTTCAAGATACAAGGGACATAAGGATGGCAGAAAGATGATACAAGTGGGCTATCAAGAAAAGAATGGTAATAGTGGAAGTTTTGGCTGAGGGGGAAGGACGGTAGCCTTGTGAATTATTTTAAATTTATTTTGTATTTTCTCCTGTGTTTTTTTTTCCTCTCTACTCATTGGATCACAAATTTGTTGTATAGTAGAGTCTGGACTGTGTTCCTGGATGGAACCTCTAAAGGTCCTACTTCCACAGACTCCTGAGTAGAGAAGCCAGTGTGTCCAGAGACCCTGTTCTCCTCAAGTTATAGCTGAGGGAGTGAGGGCTGTCCTATTGAATAGGCCCTCTACTGGGCAATTTTATTCCAAGGGGCAGAGTCCATCGCCATGTGTCCTTCAGCTAAAGGCTCACTGCCTGCCTTGCATTTGCCCCAAACTTTCCTCCCCCAAACAATGGCAGCCCAGTAAATTGAACTACTGCTTTGAGTTGTCAGGGCATCTGACACTGATCTTCAGAGAGGATGACTCTGAGTAGGATAGAGGGAGGGGGCGGGTGTTAGAGAGGGATTTTTGGAGAAACAGATTCTATGTGGATATCTTATTTAGGGATGTTTTTGTAAGGAAAATATAGTTTTGGGAAGGAACAAAGTCTCAGTTCTAAGCATGTGGGAGGGCAGCTGTGAGCACAAAGAAAGTTAGACTTTCAGGGATACAGGCCAAAGAACTTTGTTCAATACTTGTCTTACTATGTATATATCATGAAATGAAAACTTTTATAAGGTATACATGCATTATATAGCTACTAAATAATTTTAAAGATTTAAAACAAAGGGAAGAACAGTGCAGACATGAAAATTAAAGGTAAAAATAGATTATGGAGGGGAATGTTAATACCCTAAAACAAGCATGTCAAACTTGCAGCCCGTGGGCCACATGCCTCGTTTATTTGGCCCATGTTAGCCTTTGAGTTTGATAGCTTGCCCTAAAAGAATTTGATTGTTCAGTATAAAAATTTATATCCATTTGAGTAAATTTATCAATTCTGCCTAATTATAATTTACTTAGAAAACATCTATTGATATCTTGCAATGTAAAGGCAATCTGTTTTTTACAAAATATGTAAGGTATAGTTCCTCACTTCAGCCACATGCATTCGTTGTAGAAATGAAAAAATATACACCAGTGATGAAGGATTTCAGAGAATTGGTTTGAGTTTGAGGTAACTAAGAATGATATCTTAGAGGAGGTAGCATTTAAATTGGGATTTGTGGTATAAACACATATTGGCATGCCAGATGGTAATGGATGGCATTCCAGGTAGAAAGATTGCACATTAAAATTTTGGAGCTACAATAACGCAAGATTGAGTAATTTAGTTCAGCAAAAACACAGGGTACAATATGAGATGAGTGTGTACTAACTTGATAAGGGCTTGGAGGGGCCTGAGCCAGGCTCATGAGTGTAGACTTCACATAATGGGACACCCTTGGGATTCTTTTGAGCAGCATAGTTGAATGGTAAAGTACCTACATGAGGAGGATAAATCTGTTACCAGGATGGGTAGATCACCAGGAGGAGGAGATGAAGAGTTAAGGGGAAAAAGCAGAGTAATGAGATTTCTGCTTGTGGAAGTCATTTAGGATGGATATATATAGCTCAAAGGGAAGAACAGTGTGGACAGGAAAATTAAAGGTAAAAATTGATGAAGTCTCAAATTATGGAGGGGAATGTTAAGACCCTAAAGGAAAGGGTTAGGCATTCCACCTTTGCCTACCATGAAATCAGGAGGATCTAAGTTCTAGGAAGTTTACATATTTCCCTGGCATTGGGACTAGATGCTCAGTCCCATGGTTTTTGGTCACTAGATCTGTCCAACCTGGTTTACAGTGCACATACAATTTCCAGTACTTTTTGACTATCTACTTCTGTGGCTATCAGGTACAAGTTCCCCTTTGATTTTTGTGTGTTGGATTCATTTGGGTTTATTTGTCATGATTACTCCAACCCTAAGGTTTCAAAAGATACACATCAGGCAAAATAAACTTTAGCTTCTCTCTCTCTCTCAATGCTTCCCTCAGGTCCTTCTACCTAGATATATCCCCTGAAGATTGCTATTTACAAAGATCAATGCCATGGGTGACTGTGGTTCTCTGAGGGGTTTTCAGTTTCCCTGGGCCATGCCCTGAGAAGTAAGGTGTCAATTTCCTTTATACTCATTATTCCCCCATCTATCAGCTTCTATCACCATTTCACCCATCGCACCGAGGATTCAGGCCAAGTGAGAAGGGGAGCAAGTTTAGATGCCCACTTAGGGACACTCATCTATGTTACCTCTATTGCACTTACACATATTTGTTTCTCTCTTTTGTGGTAGAATTCTATCTTATTTTAGAAATTATTACACTTTCTAGTTCTAGCCTCTGAAAAGGCCTAGAAACGATGACTGATTCTATAACAGTGAGATCCTTCGAGCCCAGACTCAAGTCTTGAACTGGACAATATAATGACTGTATATAAAATCACCACAGATAATTGTGATGGGGAGGTAGGTATAGGAACCATAGGTGGGGTAAGTTGTCACTAAAGCAAGCCTATGGCAGATAATTAATTGCTATAATTTGAGGAGGCCCATCAGATGATCAACACAGCTCCCATCTCTCCCTATTCTCATTCTCCATCCCCAGCCCTGAAGATGCCTTGAAAACCAGAATTGCAAGCAGAGTAGCTATGAAAACAATCAGCCTGTCGGCCACTGAGAGAGACAAACCATGTTTTGAATTTTTAAAGACCCCCACTCACAGAAAAGTACCACTAACTGTCTGTAATTGTGTTTCCCCAAAATATATATTTAAAACTAAGTTACAGTACCTGTGAATCATCTTATTTGGAAATATTATCTTTACAAATTAAATTAAGCTAAAATGAAGTAAAATGAATTTGGGTGAATCTTAAATCCAATGACTGGTGTCCTTATAAGAAGAGAGGAATTTGGACACAAAGACAAAGAAGAGACACACACAGAGGTAAGAAGGCCACATGACAATAGAGGTAGAGATTGGAGTGATATAGCTGCAAGCCAAGAAACACCAAAGATCATGCCAACTACCAGATGCTAGAAAGAGGCAATGAATGATTCTTTCCTAGAGATTTCAGAGGGATCAAGGCCCTGCTAACACTTTGATTTCAGACTTCTGACCTCTAGATCTGTGAGAGAATAAATTTCTCCTGTTTTAAGCTACCCAGTTTGTGGCAATAACTTACAGTAGCCATAGGAATCTAATTACAGGTGTTGATGCCAGTGTGGCAAACCAGAGATTGAACAAAAAACTAATAAGGAAGATTTGGGGAAAGAGATGTCCATAGAGGGCTTTGCAAAACTCCAGTACATTCTTGGAAATCTAGGAAGGCAAATGAATGAATAATGTAAGGCTGTGCACCTGCCCAGGAAATATTAAAAAAAGACCCTAACTTCTCCAACTCTGAGAGAAATGCTGAGGCCCTGCCAAAGCAAAAAGTGAAGCCTAAGAAAGAATTTTTAGCTATCTGATCATTGGAGTCCTCCTACAACACACACAGAGCCCCTCCACAAAGGGTGGGAGATTTATTGATCCAATCATTTAAATAACTTTCTTTTTAATCACTAGCTGACCATTAAGCTAACTGAGCAGAGAAGTTAGTTCAGTGGTTTACACTTGACAGGGACTTAATCAAGAAAAGTAACCAAACCAACAGGAGCAACAACAAACTATGGTGTGGCTATTGGGGGATGGATTTACGGAACTGCCATATTATGTTATTTAAAACATCTGACTTTCAACAAAATGCATGACCTATACAAAGAAACAGGAAAGCAGTCACATGAAAGAAGCTGAAAAGTACCAAGAGGAAAACAAGTAAAAATGTACAAAGGACCCTCAATAAAATGAACTAACTTTTTTTTCTTTATTGATTAAGGTATTACATATGTGTTCTTATCCCTCCATTGCCCTCCCAACCCCCAATCATACCCTCACACCCCTGGTGTCTGTGTCCATTGGTTAGGCTTATATGCATGCATACAAGTCCTTTGGTTGATCTCTTCCCCTTACACCCACCCTCCCCTACCTTCCCTCTGAGGTTTGATGGTCTGATGGATGCTTCTCTGTCTCTGGATCTGTTTTTGTTCATCAGTTTATGTTGTTCATTTTATTCCACAAATGAGTGAAATCATGTGATATTTATCTTTCTCTGACTGACTTACTTCGCTTAGCATAATGCTCTCCAAAAATGAACTAACTTTTATCAAAAACTATAGAGCCCAGAAGGCAGTGTGATGACTTAATCAAAGCATTAAAAAGAAAATATCAACTAAAAATTCTATGTCCACAAAAACAATCCTTCAAAAATAAAGAAGAAATTAAAGCATTCTCAAATAAACAAAATTTGAGAAAATTTGTTGTCAGCAGACGTTTCCTATAAGAAAACACAAAGGAAGTCCTTCAGAATGATAATAAATGATATCAGCCAGTAGCAAAACCACAAAAAGATATAATGAGCACTGGTAAAGGTGACTAAATAAGTAAATATCAAAGATGGTATAAATGCATTTTTTTCTTTATAACTTTTTATTCTCCTATATGATTTTAAAAGAACTGCATAATAAAGCAATTATCATAAAACTGTGATGATGGGCTTATAGAATATCAAGATGTAATTCTTTTGACAATAATAACACAAAGAACCCTTACTTAAACTGACCCCATCCCCAAGAGAGGATGTAGCAGCTATGTTGGAGCAAAATTGTGGTATACTGTTAAGATTAGTTGGTATTTCTCCTAATTATGCAGTCTTTAAATTAAGATGTTAATTGTAATCTCCATGGGAGCCAATTATAAAAAAAAACTTATGAAAGCAAAAGAAACAATAAGAAAATTAAAATGGAATTCTATCAACTATTTATTTAATACAGAAGAAAACAGTAATGGAGGAACAAAAAGGAAATGAGATATGTAGAAAGCGAATAGGAAATAGTAGATGTAACCTAACTTATCAGTAAGTACATTAATGACAAATGAATTTCACATCCATTCAGTAGGCAGAGATTGGAGAATGGATTAAAGAAAATAGTCTGACTATATACTGTCTACAGAAGACACTTTAGATTCAAAGACACAAATAGTTGAAAGATAGCAACTGCAGAAAGATTGATGCAAAAAGGTATACCAAGCAAAAAGCAACCATAAGACAGCTGAAGTTGCTCTACCAATATCATGCAAAATAGACTTTAAAACAAAAAATGTAACTAGAGATAAAGAGGAACAATTTATAATGATAAAGGAGCCTATATATCAGGAGATATAATAATTATAAGCATATATGCACTTAACAACAGTGCTTATATATATATATATATATATAGTTTTTAAATATGGCAGAACTAAAGGTAGACATAGATAATTCAACATTAAAAGTGAGTGACCTCAGTAAGTTAAAAAGGGTTGAAGCCATACAAAGTATGTTTTTAAATACAATGAAATCAAATTAAAAACAGAAGGAATGTAGGGAAGTTATAAAATATGTGGAAATTAAGCAACATCCTCCTAAATAACCAATATATTTTTTAAAATCACAAGGAAAATTTTCTAAATACTTGGAGATGAATGAAAATGAAAACACAAGATGGCCAAATTTACTGGGTGTCACTAAAGCAGAGGTTAGAGTGAAATGTATAGCTATAAAAACCTGTATTAATAAAGAAAAATCTTAAATCAATTACCTAATTTTCTACTCTGAAAAATTGGAAAAATAACACAGTAAACCCAAAACAAAGAAAATGATGGAATAATAAAGATTAGAAAAAAATAAATGACATAGAGGTTAGAAATACAATAGAGAAAAATCGACGATTCCCAAAGTTAGTTATTTGAATAGGTCAACAAAATTGGCAGACTTAGTTAGACTGACCCCATCCCCCAAAGAAGAAATACTCAAATTACCAAAATTAGAAATAAAGAGAGGACATCATTACCAATTCTATGGAAATGAAAAAAGAATTATATGGAAATTCTATGAATAATTATATGCCAACAAATTAAATAACCTAGAAATAATTACTGAAGTATTCAGAGGGAATGGAGCATTAGGCCCAAAATTTACTTGTAAATAATTCAAGAAAAAAAATGTTTTACGGTACTCATTACTTCTGTATATATGAAATTATTTAAAAGAGAGAGAGAGAGAGAGAGAGAGAAATAAAAGAATGATACCATGTAAGGCCACTATTCACAGCAAGGCTTATCATTGTAAGAAAGAAGGAATCTGGAAGTTCACCAATAATGGTTTACTTCTAACCAGTGGGAAAGTTCATTAATATGTTTCAACATGCACACATGTGCACATGCACGAATGCCTGAATTTGTGTTTGCAGATGTGGAGCAGTGTCAGAATCAGCCGAAAGGCTAAGGTGTGGCTGCTGGAGTGGATGGCTGAAATAAAGTGAAGGTAGTTGGAAGTGAGGAAGTCACGGAACGGGAATGCACAACATTGGAAGAGTCATACTTGAGGACTTTGAGATTGTGTAAGACGATGGCAGGACTTGGGCTGGAGAGAAAGACTGTAAGTTAGGTTCCAAGTCTTTCTTGTAAGGAAATAACTGAACAGACATCTATGAAATGAGTGTAAGGGAAGAGGGCTTTAAGTAAGAAAGAAATGAACCTCAAAGAGGTCGAAGAATTAAGGAAGGGATAGTGGAGACCTAGTACAGAGGAAGGACGTGGATCCTAACCTTAAATATTTCTTAAGCACTGTGCCTAGCTGGCCTGATTCTGCTATAGATTAAAAATTTTATGGAAGACTTCATAGCTAGAAATCAAAGGAAATTATATGAAGCTTGGTCTGCAATTGCTATGTCTCAGGAAATCAAATATGAAAGTGTTTTCTGTAATTCTTTCCTGATCTACTTACAAGGAGAATAGGTGAAAAGAACAGAGTAATTGAGCTGACACTAATTTATTCTTCACACTTATTTGTGAAATGATTTATTTAAAATTCCTTTGAATGTTGCTAATTCTAATTCATTTGTGATTTTATTTAAATGCAACTGCTTAGACAAATCTTTAACATATGAAGCAAATTACCTGTTACTTTATTCCTTGATTATTATAACACCATATATATTATATATACAGGGGTGGGCAAAAGTAGGTTAATAATAATAATAAATATAATAAATAAATAAGTAAATAACACAATAATAAACTCTGTTTTGTGTACTCATAATTGTAAACCTACTTTTGCCCACCCCTGTATATATTTTGTACATTGCACACTCAAGAACATAAAAATGGTTCTATGAAGATATAGTGTAAACTTTATGGTTGCTAAGCTTGTTTCTCTATCTGTCTCCATGCACCAATCTCCACACACTTAATTTTAAAGATTTGTTATACAAGTAGAAGAGGAATATTTTCTAGAGGGGGGGGGTCTCAATTCCACTAGATAGTGATTATTGTTGTCTTAATTGTTTTTTGAGGAATGCTTCATTTAAATTACTTTCTAATACCCCAAGTCCTAACAAGATGATAGATATTTGTATTTACCATTTACTCTTATACTACTAATTCTTATGGAAGGCTGTTTGTCATGCTTTTGCCCCTGTAGACTCTTATTAAATTGAAATCACTCCAAGATGAGTACGTATGGTCACTACACATGTTTTTATTAAGTGGGGGAGGAAATGGTCTGGAATTCAAGTTTTTCCATGGATTAAACAGTGCACAAGAACCAGCAACTTTGGAGGAAATCCAGTTTACTTTTGCTTTAATGCACCCAGAAGATTTCAAATCAATACTTAGCATTAGTGTTTCAATTGAAAATTAACATTGCTATAATTGGAAGCGAGCATCAGCATCCTGATGCTTAGGAGAGGGCTATTTGGTTGGGAAGGTCATTACACTGGAGAGCACAAACATTGGGAGAGCAAAACAAACCATTTGTTTCCTTGAGCAAGGACACACAGTAAACACTTGAATGCGTGGTCAACTATAATTTGCTTCTAGAGCCAGCGAATTTGGCAACACTGCAGTTTAGATTTCTAGCAGAGCACACACATAGCAGTAACTTTGAAAGCAAAATATATTTAAAAAAAGAAAACAAGGAAGAAGTTACTAGTTCTTAACATTTCCCCCCTCAACCTAAAGGCAGGATGTACTCTTGCTGCCATGTCCAGCGTGCTCCTCACTGCTCTTCCTAAATAATTACTCCTCCAGGAAACCAATGACATTTGAGTCTGGGTTATCAACAATCCTTTATTTTTTTTTTGCCTGGGATTTTTAAATCAATATATTCCCAGTCTGAACAGAGTTTTTCTTTCCATCGTGGTAAAAAATAAAATGTAAAATATTGTATTGTTTTCTATATGCTTTCAGTATCTTAAAAAGTTCAATCACTTCTTCAAATCCACAGGAAAAGCCCTTTCCCGGGTAGAATCCTGGGCTCAGTACCGCCTAAGGCACTCCCACCTCTTCCTCATTAGAAACGGAGCATCCAGTTCGGATGTAGCTCCTCCGTGGGGTAGAGGGAATTAGGGGAAGGGAACTTCTGCAGAAATCACCAGTTCCACAGATAAGCCCCTCTTCTCCGTTCCCCTTTTCATTGAGAGTGAAAAACTACTCACAAGAAGTGCTCACTGTCCCCTTCCACTAGGTGACTTCCGAGTCCAAAGAGGACCCGATCAGTGAGGCGCCCTCTGCTCTGTCCCGCAGCCTGCGACTTCACCCCATTGCGTCCTGTGCCGAATTGGAGCTCAGAGCAGTAGCCTGCGCACCACTCTCCACCCCAGGAGGGGCCAAAGGCCCCTTTCCTGGCCTAGAGGAAGGGCTTTTGTGAAAGCAGAGTTTGAAAAGCCCCAGCACTGTCATGGTCAAGATCACCAACACTACCACTGCTATGCTCACAAGTATGAAGACCACGGTGGAGGAGGAGTCCAAAGCCTTGGGCATGTTAGAGGAAGACGTGGCATTAGACGTGGGAATCACGCTTCCTGGAGAAGTGATGGTGGCCTCTGAGTTGGCTTGAGGGGACATCTGCAGGGTGGGCTTCGTGCTCTTTGCTCCCCACCCAGGAATCTCAGAAATAGATGTTGCTGAACTGCCTTGTCCAGGGACCTGGGGCCTCTCTCCTGGTTTTTCAGGGCCCCTGGGTGACCATGTTCTCCTCGGCATGGGGCTGGTTGCAGTGGCCAGGGGGTGCCTGGTGGGCCCCTTGGCTCCCCCCGGGTCCGGCTGTCCTTCTCCGTAGGTTACACAAGAGCGTCCGTCTTCCCCCAGCACGAAGCCCGCAGCACACTCGCAGACAAAGCCTTCCATGTCGTCCAGGCAGTTAGAGAGCTCTGCGCATTTGCCTGCGCGGAGGTACCTCCCGGGGCAGGGACAGAGCACAGCCCCGGAGGGTATCCCGTCCCAGCGAGCGCCGACCCCGTCCACGATGCAGGTGGCCGTGGTGGATTGCTGCCCCGGGCAGCGCGCACTCACCTGGGTCCCCGGGGGACTGAAGTCCAGCGCCGCGCTGTGCAGCTGGAAGGGCGCGCGGTAGCTCAAGTCCGAGGCGGCCCCGGGGCGCGGCGCCGGGCACAAGCCCTCGAACTGGTACTTGCACAGGTAGCCGTGGGCGCGCCAGTGGCAGCGCATCTCCTTCCAGCCTGCGGGCTCCACTCCCTCGGCGGCTTGGAGCGCCGCGCAGTTTCGCGCAACGCAAGAGCGCTGGGGCTCCTGCACCCACGGCAGCGTTTCGTTTTCCAACCCATCGACGTGGACGTCGGGGGGCACCCAGGAGAAACCCCGCAACGGCTCGCTCTCCAGGGTGCACTGGGACCGCCTACGCTCCAGCGCCACCCAAAACAGAAGGTCTTTGGAGCCCCCTCCGGGCCCCGGGCCTGCCCGCAGGAGAGCGAACACCTCGCGGAGCTCAGCGCCTCCGCGCACCGTGCTGAGCGCCCCGCCGCGCAGGTTGCAGGCCTCCTCGGCCGCCAGCCGCTTGATGCTCGCGTGGTGCAGGCTGTAGCAGGCCCCCGAGGCAGAGCAGCCCGCGCGATCGGCGGTGGGGTGCTCGCCACCGCCGGGTCGGGGCCAGAACGCCTGCCAGAGGAGGCACAGGGTGAGCGCCGGCCTCATCTTGAAGGCCCCGCGCCCACAGCTGCTCCCAACTTGGCGCAGTCCGGCCAAGGGCTCCGAGGTGTCCCTAGAGCGCGGTCACCGCCCTCTACCACTGGCTCTACCCTTACTTCCCCCGCCCACCCCCACCCCCAACCTCCAAGAATCCCCACCAGTGTCCTGGCGGCAAACAGGCTTCCCTTAGGCCGAGACAGGAAATGTGCCGGGAGCTCTGCCAGGGCTGGTGCAGCCTTGATTTATTCTGGGGTCAGGAACACAGCTGGCGCGGGGCAGGGAACGCAGTCGACCAGGAGGTCAAACACCCTGCTAAGAGCAGGGGGGAAAGAAAGTCGATACTTCAGGGGGGAAAGGTTAGGGAGTTTTAGGACCTTAAATACCCTAACACTTTGGTGAACACGGACAGGAAGGGCCGGAGAAGAGGAACTTGCTCCCGGCCCACGCCCGCCCATTGTGCTTCATCCGGAGCCATGGAGTTGGAACCACAATTGGTGGAGGGCTCCAGCTTCCATCAGGCCTGCGACTAAGGGCGCGAAATCTTGTGAGAAATATAAGCATCTCTCTTCCTCACCAGAGGCCGAACTATTTCACCGCAGGTCTCTCGCTGGGCTCTGCTTCTCTGTTCTATCAAAGGAGACTCAGGTGTCCTGTTAGTAAAAGAATTAGAGTTCCTTTGGGGTATCTTACATGGGGAGTCCTGCTTCTTGGGTGAGCACTTGCCTTAAACGTTTGTTTTTCGCTTCCATTTGTTTCTCTTTGAAATGGCCTATGCTGGTTCAGTGAGGAAAGGAAAAATGTAGGCCCGAATGGGAAAAAGGCCACAGGTTTTTACCTTTGTTAGGTTGTTAGCTCTTTATCACTATATTATTCATAACTTCTTCCAGCTTACAGATCATATGTAAATGAATTCATAGCCATATTAATGTTTGAGAACAACTCCTCCACCTCTGATTTTATCCTTGAACTATTTCACATTATTTTCTCCTATGTCAATATTTGCAGCATTACGTTGTAAAAGTCACCTTTAAGGGTCACTAGAGTTCAATAGCCTAAAGAAATGAAAATATTTATAACATTGTAATGCATATTGAATATTGTAAAAAAAAATACCAAAATCCGCAACTTAAAAAATGAGTGAGTCAATTTCTTCAGAGTTCCAGTGGGTGTTCTGTTTAAATATAAACACTTCAACTCAGTTGAGAGTGAGTAGGAATTAAAGACAAGTGAAGAAAGGAAAGGTTAAACACTGCACTGTCTATGAAAGAATTTTCTGGTTAGCAAATTCAGTAATTCTACATCATTTTGAGAAATAAACGTAATCAGAAATACATAGAGTTTCAACTAAGCCCTCTTAAACATGCATGATGCTTTTAAATATCTATATTCAGAATGAAAGTTGCTATTCCATGAATAATGCATACCACATTTTTAAACTCACTTTGTTTTACTGAATGCTATTGTCCAGGTTACTGAGGAGGAGGAGGAAAAGGAGGGGGAAGGAAGGTTTCACGATCACATTTGTATGTTTCCACCTCATTTTTACCACTACTCTCACTTTTCTTCTCTTAGAAAGTCCATGTATCTTAACAAAGGATAGTAAATACCAGGAATCATCATCTCACTTACCTTGCTTTTGCTCACTGAGGAGTTTTGCCTCAGGATTTCTTTCCTATCCTCGCTCTTTTCCAATTGAAAGGACATTCATTAGTCCTTCATTTCAGATGTCTAAGAATAACCTTAAACATGACTTTGCATTTTAATTAAATGTCTTATGAGAAAGGAACATGAAAATCCAGAAATCTAGTTGAATCGATTTTAAAAATACTTAATCACTTGGGTCAGTTCTGTGTGCTTTTGCAATCTAATGATTATGTCTTTGTAAATATGTCCATATGGCATTGCATATTTTGATAAAATAAAACATTTTATAAACCTAAGTAGTCAATAGAAATCTTTTAGATATTTTTTAAATCACTTGGGATGAGATGAGGTTTCTAGAGTAAGGAAGAATGAATGACTGGAGAGCTTAGAGTAAATACATGATCTCACACCCTGACATCCTGCCTAGGGAGGTAGAATATTAGAAGAGAACATAGTGGCTATAATGACTATATATCACAGTCCTAACCATGCCTACAATGATATGAGAGAAGAGTAAGAAAAAATTTAGCTCAAAGTAAGACATATCATTTTGTGACTAATTACTTTATAATGATTTACATACCATTAAAATGAGATCAAAGGAACAATGAACATAAGATTCTGGCTGATGGATCCTTTGGGTGAGAAGGAGGAGGGGGATAGATTGGTGGGGGAGCCAGGGGTTGGATGTGGGCTGTTGCTGGAGTCCTAGCTTTTGTTTTGGACAGTGGATTTATGGATGATTATTCCACTATGAAAAAACAAATAATTAAATCATTTTTTAAATGAATATCTAGACAAATGATGAGAGAATGACATGAACCAAATATTGTAATTAGTCTAATTCTGAGCAGCTGAGTTCCACCATGTAAAGTAAAAATAAAATCAAGATGTGGATGTAGTTTTCTTTACTTCCCAAATTCTTTTATAGGTGAAGCATTTTTAAATTTAAGCCAGTTATCACTCTGAAAAAACACAATAGGTAAAATATTTTCCCTATGTTTTTAGACTTTTCATACAATCTTCATATTATTGGTAAGAATCATGTATGGCATTTATTTGTTCATTCATTTATACAAGGCCATCCAAGGAATGTATAAGGAAGTATATGAGAGAATATATAAGGAACACATTTAGTCCAACATTTTCAATTTGATTATTAATTTAAAGTATTAGAAACATGGAGAAATATAAAATTTTAGTAATCATATCCTATGCAATCTCATAAATTTATAAATTGTTGATCCTCCCTGAATAACTTCTATTATTACTGAAAGAAAACAACACCTGGATCTTCACATATTTCTGATTTCACTTAAATATAAAAAGACTTTAGAGGAAATTGAAAAAAAGATACAGCATCTCAATAGGACAGTATGATGCTCAGAAGGTAATCTGTAGAGACTAAGCATTGTGGAGATTCCTAGCTTCTTAGAACTGTTTTGGACCTTAACAAAATGATCAATAGTTTTATATTTTTAACTGAGAAATTTTAAAATTTTATTTCTCAAGTGTCCATGAAGCACTTAATGAATGATAAAATATGGTAATTTTGTTTGCTGAAAACACAATTTCTAATCATCATTATATACATACTACTGGCCCGGTGCACTAAATTCGTGCACAGGGAGGGGGGGGGTGTCCTTCAGCCGGGCCTGCACCCTCTCCAATCTGGGACCCCTCAGGGGATGTCTGACTGCCAGCAGTTGGATATCCCTCTCGCAATCTGGGACCACTGGCTCCTAACTGCTCACCCGCCTGCCTGCCTGATCACCCCTAACCACTCTGCCTGCCAGCCTGCTCACCCCCAACTGCCCCCCCTGCCGGCCTGATTGCCCCCAACTGTTCCTCCCCCTGCTGGCCTGATTGCCCCTAACCACCACTGCCTCAGCCCCGCCACCATGGCTTTGTCCGGAAGGCTCCCAGTCTAATTAGCATATTACCCTTTTATTAGTGTAGATTCAAATTAGGATATATGGTTTGACTCTTAGCCCAACAGATTATATAGGCTAATAACCTAACAAATTCATACACATCTGAATAGATAAAGACTTATTTTAGATGGCATTATATTTAAGACATACTCATACATGCATATACAGTTAGTCATTTCAGAATGTATGTCATATTGATAGGTATTCCTCTGGCTTAGTTAACAACATGACTAACAGAAATAAGAAACTTCAGAAAACATTAAACTTTCAGCTTGTTTATTCAAACTGCTCTCTAGGCAGAGGCAGTGTTGACCATATTCCATGTGCACTGGATGTAACGTAAAAAAATTATTCTTTGGTGGCCATTACAGAATTAGTACACTTCTCCATTGCCAAGTTTATAATCAAGAAATAATGGAGGCATGACTCATGCACACAAAAGGCCTTTTATAATCCAAATGCCTAACAAGTTCTAAAGTATAAATGTTTATCCTACTACCAAGATATTTTTTTCAAAATTCTTACAAAGCTGGTTTATGGGCCACACTAGAAATCAGTCTCATTACTCAGTCACACAGTTACACACACACACACACACACACACCTCATCCAGCCCCTCCCCCCTTTTTTTGACAGATGACAATAAAAGTTAAACTTGTAGGGTTCGTTAACATCATCCAGCAAACAAACTACAGCTATATGGAGGTGGGCGGGTTGCAGACCTTCTCCTTTGTTAAAATTTAGCATCTATGTGATCTATGGCATCAGGTGCACAGATCTTGGAGTTCTTTCGGGCCTGGTCCTGAGTCCTCTTATCTTTCCACTGGATAATCTCTTCCTCATGATCTCATCTCATATTGTCCTATTATTTTGGATATCATCTCTATGCCAGTGATGCCCAAACATATCCACACTTTATTCTTCTTGACTGAGCTCTAAATTCATATATCCACCAACTACTTAATATTTCCACTTAGGTATCTCATAGGTATTTCAAATTCTCATGTTCTGAACAGAACTTTGGTTCTTCCTTCCTGAGCCAGCTTGTCATCTTGACTTCATCATTTTAATCAATGGCACATCTATTCCCCAAAATGCACCTCTAGCTCCCTCACCTGTTATACTGGTCAGGTTTTTTTCAATTGTAATTAACAGAAATCCAACTCAAGCTAGCTAAATGCAAAAGGGAATTGTGTGTTTAAGTCCTTTATCCATTTTGAGTTTATTTTTGTGTATGGTGTAAGTTGGTGGTCTAGTTTCATTTTTTTTGCATGTATCTGTCCAATTTTCCCAACACCATTTATTGAAGAGATGGTTTTGATTTCATTGTATGCTCTTGCCTCCTTTGTCAAATATTAATTGAGCATAGTGGTTTCGGTCGATTTCTGGGTTCTCTATTCTATTCCATTGGTCTATATGGCTGTTCTTGTGCCAGTACCAGGCAGTTTTGAGAACAGTGACTTTGTAATACAGCT